TCGTCGACAATGACCATGTTTTCGTTATTCTCATCTCGATCCGCCATCTTTGTTTACTAATTACTAGTGCCCGGCCCCCCGGGCACTAATAATTAGTAAACAAAGTTAGAAATTTCTTTTAATTTCTTTTTTCAAAATTAGAAATTTCTTTCCAAATTTTTCTGGCCAAAGACGAAACTATTATTTTTTTAACATTATGCCGGAATTAATAGCATTATGCCGCATTATGCTCGCAATGCTCGAAAGTGCTCATTATGCTCCTGAAGACCTATTATGCTCGAAATTATGCCGGCATAATTTATCCAGGCCTAGTGGAGATTAGGAACTACAACATGGTAATAGCGTTGAGAATGGCACTCCTATAACTGCGGTACAAATTGTATTGCCCTACTTTATTGAAGTGAACCCCGTCGCGAAGAAAAGGTGTCACAGATGGTTGCGAAAAACCCCGATGTAGCCATAAAAATACCTTAGGCATATGTTCCAATACCACCGTTAGGTAGTTATTCAGAACAAGGCGTGTTTTGTTGAAATGCCAATTACGCCAACGTGGAGTAACCAGGCAGACACATACCACCTTAACCTTATACGTTTCACGCAACAGAACGACTAGCTCCTCGATCTGTGAGCCTACCACCTCGGGTGGTAACGAGGATAAATCGTTAGTGCCAATTTCTAGCACCACAATATCAGGAGAATGGCGTGAAACTACAGCTAGGTCATGATGCCGTAATTTTTGTACTGTGCGGCCGCCAATACCGTGTAAATATACTCGAGCTGTCCCTTCAAGTTTAAATGTTCTGGACATACGTAAGTCGGACCGATATTCCAGATCAGACTTAAGTCGACGTACAAATGAATGACCTAGAACTAAAACTTTTGGGAGTGCCATTGGTGATTATTATAAAAGAAAAAAATTGTTAGCTATATATAACTAAGAACATATGTAATTAATCTCACCTGATAAAGAGACTTGAAAGTGAATTTATTGAGATATAATGTTGATCTGTTCACCAGTACAGTTGTAGTCGAATGATACTTGCTTTGCGCAGCTATCCATTTTATAATGATATCAACCACACCTCTCACCCCCTTACAAGCTTTTCGCGCTCTATTTTTAAGTATGGCGCCAAGCTAATAATATTAAGAGTTCTAATCTTTGTAACGGCTTAACACCTACTTCGCCATGTCTAGTTCTTGCTTATACAAGCACCTTAGATAAGACGATTTTACTCTGATAAATCACATTACATAAATTCCTTATTTTCTTCGCAAATATTTTGTTTTATTTTAATATATACTTACCAGGGCATCAACGTAATTGGCTGACGCTGTGTTGATGTACCTGCGCCGTTGTCGTTGTATAAATTTTTGGCGGCAAAGTTTATAAACCAGTGATAAGCATATAAATACTGACTTGTTCCTTAATTTGACGATATATAAAAAACGGCCTCATCTTTCCGAATTAACAACGCAGCCCAGTTTAAATACAATCTCGTGAGCTCCTAACCCATCTTATTTTTCACCCTGATCGGATTCCTTTGTTCTTATCGGGTATACATTCAATGTTCCCCTCTAATCAATTTCCGTTTAATAATCCTCTCCAATATTCACCTGCAATGTCTTTGCAGGCTTGCAGCCCAAAAAAGGAGAAAAAACAACATAACAAAGGCAATATGGCATTAAGGATTATTTCTAATCTGACTCATTAACGCGACCTCGCAATACAGGCTGTCCTAAAAAAAGTGACACTATAGAAATTATCCTATTGTTATAATTTGAATGCCCTAGCACTAAGTTGATCCCACAGGTGCATAAACTTCTGCTTCAGGAATTTAAAATAAAAAAGCAAACCGTTTATTAGTCTAATCGTTTTGCTTGACTCGGGCATTAAAATATTTGGACACAGTCAAAACGTTTTAAAATGCTCAAATGTAAATACAAGTTCATTGAATTCCCAGGCGTGTAATCACACGCGTTTAAGAGCGGCTTAAGAACAATGAGATAATTTCTATAGTGTCACTTTTTTTTGGGACACCCTGTATGTGAAAAATAAGTACGTTATTTTGAGGCACCTCGAGAATAATTATGTGTTTATTCACTTCGGCGCTGCGTGCCTCGGTGAATACATCACACATTCCCTCGTTGCCTCAAAATAACCTATACGTGTTTGACAGTAACTCAAGCTCAACACTAACTTAATTGTTGTGACGTCATTATTGTAAATATGAATTAATCTTTGTTTCGGTCACAAATAATTATCTTTGATCTTGACCGTAATCACAACCCATCACTAACCCTAGCTTTATTGTTTAGAAGAGATATGACTCTTACACGCAAAACGCGGGACACGCGCGCAGACAATTAGTGGATAATTGAGATCAGTGTACTAAAGGCAAGAACGCTAAGTATAAAACAGTAAACTCGTGTAGGAATTTCGTATTAAAGTTTATTTTCACAGTTTTTGTACTAAATCGAGTACTTTTCGAGGCTAAATATCGTTACATCGCAACATTTGACGATCCTGCCAGGACAATGCGAGGAATTTGGGGTTTTTAAAGTGAATTCCGCGGTTAAAATCGAGGAAAATTTCAGAACATCGTGCTCGAGGACTGTTTGCGTATTTACAGCGTTTATTCGTAGTTGTATCGGTACTGGAACAATATTCGGGGACGTTTTATAAATTTGTTGTAAACTCGGCTTTGTTTTAAACTTTATTGGGTGTTTCTACGATATATTTACATCGAATTATAGCAAGTTTACGGGTATTTGGAATTAGACGGCAGTTTATATTAATAAAGTATTAAATATACTGTGCCATGTACTTGATGGTTGGGGATAGCCAGGAAAGCAGGGGATAAATAGTAATTTTAATAGACGCGTAAGTACAAACTAAAGTTATTGATTCTGGTTTGTTGATATATAGTTATGATATAAGTTATTAATTTCTTAAATATAACTTTGGAACAAAAATAAACCACCCTTGTAGAATTCGACATATTTATAACCTATTTTATACCTATTTTTTCTCTATTTAGCCTTATTTTTTCCGTATTTTTTCAAAAATATGACTATTTTATCACTATTTATCAAATTTCATAAAATAGTATATGACTATTTACATCCTATTTAAAATATAGGTTATTTATATTTTTCAAAAAAATAGCTTTGAAATAGATATTCAAATTCTATTTGAAAGAGTAATTGACGGAATCTCACTATAAAATATCTTTTAAATAGCTATTTAATTCCTATTGATGACAAACGAGTCTGTTAAAATAGTTAAAATAGGTATTTTTAAACTATTTTTGCTTATCTTCTTTGGAGCCATTCTTAACATAGTTATTAAATAGCAAAATAAATAGATCTTAAATATCCAGCTAGATTCAGGGTATTATTCAAATATATAAATGTTGTTTCTAACATGTAAAGAAGGCCTGAACTAGCTGCACCTGCGCGTCGCCCTATTCTTGATGTTACATGATGTTCTTGCTTTTTTTCTGCCCAGTCCCCATCCAATTTACTGTATGTATATACTTAACTCTTTGGCTACTATAGAGACTGCTAATTACAGATTTTTAAATCATTTATTGACAGACCTCTACCTACTGATAAGTAAAATTGTCTTGCATTTACAGACGGTTAATACTAAAGTAGGTCCGTAATAGCCTCTGATGTTTCAGCACTTCTACACTTGTTCTCAATTTCTTTTACTAGCTATAATTTATTTTATTTAAAGACTATTTCCATTATATGTTTTAACTTTTTATTATCTATGTTTTAACTACTGGTATTTATAATATATTTTAAAAATATTTTTAGGCTATATGTATTTGTATACACTATATTTAATAACTATTTTAACTGTATTAACAGAAAATATTTTAACTATTTATTTAATATGTTATTACTATTTTTTAACTATTTTTAATCTATTTGGGCAATATTATATCCACTATTTATTATCTATTTTTAACAAGCTGGGATGTATTTTAACTATTTATTATCTATTTTTAAACTATATTATCACCATTTTTGAACTATTTATTATCTATTTTTAAACTGTATTATCACTATTTTGAACTATTTATTATCTATTTTTAAACTATATTATCACTATTTTTGAACTATTTATTTGTCTATTTTTAAACTATATTATCACTATTTTTGAACTATTTATTATCTATTTTTAAACTATAATATCACTATTTTTGAACTATTTATTATCTATTTTTAAACTATATTATCACTATTTTTGAACTATTTATTATCTATTTTTAAACTATAATATCACTATTTTTCAACTATTTATTGACTATTTTAAACTTAGTTGAAACTCATTTCAGCTATTTAGTCCATATTTTTTACCTATATTGTCACTATGTTTCAACTATTTCATACATATTTATTAACTATGTCTAAACTATATATTTTTCATAATTTCCTTAAATAGCTTTATTTTTATCATATTTGAAACCTGTTTAATTTCTATTCGAGTACATCAATTAAGTATTTGTTTAGAAATATATCATGAATAGGATTCATGTGATTCCACATGGAAAAATGTGGTTCCACTTAGATAGGAAAAAAATAGCATTTCTACCCTAATTTAAATAGGAAAAACGTCGAAAAAAAATAATGGTAAAAATAGGAAATAAATACTTTGACAAATAGGAATTAAATAGTCCAATAAAATAGGAATTTAATAGCAACTAAATAGTGTTTGATTCTACAAGGGCAAAAACAGTAAACAAAGCTTATTTGCTAAGGGATATAATGCCGTTAACTAATGAGACAGATAAACCAAGTGTATCCAAGAATGATCTTGAACTGGAAGAAACAGTGCTTGCATTAAAGCGAGAAAAACGAGCAAGAAAAACAAATGTGACAAAAATCAGACATAATTAGACTTTTGTGCTCAGAAGAGTAAATTAAATCGTGCTGAAATCGAAGCTGAAATTGAGGCTTTGTGAGATGCATTGGAAACAGGCTTATCTGTGATGGATGAATTGTGTTCAATTTATATCAAGTCCAACCAAGCTGAAGCTAAGGAAGCTATTCTAAAAGAACAGGAAAACTTTGAATTAGATGGACACCAGGCTGTGGAGAAAGCACAACAAGTAATCAAAGAATACTTATCAAGTATTTCTGAACAAGGACATGTATCAGAGTTAGTAAATGTAAACCCGGCGCCCACAGTTGAAGCAAGCCCACCTAGTTCTGAAAGCAATCCAACTGGAACAACCATAGTCAATGATAGTCCAGCACCTGTTGTGGACACAGAATGCCCACCGACTTCAGCAAGCAATCCCACTACCAGTACAATCACAGCTAATGTTAGTCCGGACCCTACATCAACCCAGGCAAGTCCTCCGAGTTTTGCGAGCAATTTCACTGGTATAACCCATCATCGTCTTAAACCACTGACAGTTTCAGTCTGTTATGATGATAAAACTAGATTTGCGGATTTTTGGGCATTATTCATCAGCCTAGTTGATGAAGGGAGTGAGCCTGTAAGTGTTAAAATGGCTCGACTACGTCAAAGTCTTTCAGGAAATGCCTTTGATGCAATTCGCGGACTGGGTGTTACGGCGCCAGAGTACAATGAGGCTAAGGACATATTAAAATCTAAGTTTGGTAGACAATGTCGTCAGTTGCAAGCTAGCTTACCTCGATCAGTTAGAGAATATGCCAACTCTGAAGAACAATGACATTCAGTCTTTCGAAAAGTTTGCTGATCTTGTGCGGGTAACCGCAGTGAAGTTGGAAGCTGGGGGGCGCAGTGGGGAACTGGGAGATGGTGCATTGCATAGCCTGCTGGTAAAGAAACTATCGGAACGACAAGTAGAAAATTACAGTCAATGGTATAGTGAACAACATAAGATACGGTCAGTGAAAGCGTCGAGAGACTGGCTAAACGAAGAAGTATTCATCCGAGTTGAGGCTACAGAAATGGCCAATGAGTTGAACCTAAGCAGACTAGAGAGTATGACAGAGGAAGGTCGAAGCCAACTGAAAGAGGTTATGGACCTCGAAACTGGTTCACTAATCGAGATGGAAAACACAGCAACGACGATACACGTAGCCCGTATTCAAAGCCACCTTGCGCAGTATCATGGGATTTGGTCCTGTAAGGTATTTCCTGGCTTGAGTGTGCCAGATCGTTGGGGAGTCGCAAAGGAAAAACAGTTATGTTTTCGATGTCTTGCCAGTAATCATGTATCTAAGGACTGCACCAGGTCAAAGCCATACGCAGTGCAAGGGTGCAAAAGAAGCCATCACAATTTGTTGCATGAAGTTGTACCGAAGGAGAAAGAAGAAGGCGAGAAGTCACCGTTGACACGGGAGGGGCAGAGACACGAACACATACTTCAAGAAATAAGAGTGTGTCGACTGCTGAAGTTTTGTCGCTTTGTACCATTCCAGTATGGTTAAAGGCGAATGGTCGAAAAGTTAAAGTCAACGCTATTCTCGATGATGCTTCCAATGAAACATTTCTAAATGAACAAGTTGCTGGGGTGTTAGGACTTCACAAACCGTACAAGACAGTTAAAGTTTATGTGTTAAACAATGAGGTTAAAACGTTCCAGTCCATGGCCGTGGAGGGTATGATTGAAAGTGTTAACGGACAGTATCGCAAGGAAATTGGTGTCAAAACGTGCCCTCAGAACGTAATGGGAAGTTTCAAATTAGAGGATTGGTCAAAGAATAAAACCAACTGGCCACATCTTCAGAGTTGTGATTTTGCAACACCAGCAAAGGAAGGTTTAGTAGACTTATTGATTGGAATGGGCAACGCAGATTTACTGTATTCAAGAGCAGATGTTCGGGGGGGGGGGGAGACTGGGAAGCCCAATAGCCCGACTCGGACCACTAGGATGGAGTTGCATTGGAGCCACAGAGAAACAGCGAGGAACTGGCTGTAGAACGCACACCTTTAGAACATTCTTATCCAGGAGTACTGCAAAAATTACATCCTGCTGCCAGATCGATGAACAGGTCAAAAGATTCTGGGAAGTTGAAAGCTATGGTACAGAAAACATGAATTCGATGGTTCACACTGCAGAAGATAGGGAAGCTTCGAAGAAGGTGAAAGAATCAATCAGCCACAATAGTGCAACGTCTAGATACAAGATCGCCATTACTTGGAAAGCGAATCGTCCAAAACTCCCAGACAACAAAAACGATGCATTATCGAGACTCGGTAGCACTGAGCGGAAGTTGAAGAAGGATGAAATCGTGAGCAGGGAGTATCAACATACAATTGAATCGTATTTAGCCCACTTGCGGAAAGTCGGAAAAGACGAAGTGATCTCGTATTTGCCAACCGAGAGCTGCGTGAATGTTTCCAGAACTGGAATAAAGGTAAAATTCACGACGAGATGGTACAACAAGAGATTGAATGGCAATTCAAGCCACCAGCCGCGCCTCATTTTGGTGCTGTTTGGGAACGCCTAGTCTAGTCCTGTAAACGAGCGATCCGAGCTGTCGTTGGGAAACAGACCCTGACGGACGAGGTCCTACTCACAGTTATGGCCGAAGTCGAAGCCTTGTTAAACAGCCGTCCTCTCACCCACGTCAGCACTCATCTCTGCGATGAAGAAGCCTTGACTCCAAACCATTTCCTCCTCGGTCGCCCTAGCCCGAATTTACGTACCGCCCGAAGTTTTCGTCAGCAAGGAAATAGGGACCTTAAGCATGTACGACGGCAACGCGATGACGACAGCCAAAACAAACTTCTTCAAATAAATTATTGCGAAGAAGAGTTGTTGTGTATTATCCACTCACCATGTGTATATGAATTGAGTTCAGTTTGATGAGACTTTTAACAAAGGTTTTATGGTTAAACACGCTTTTGCGAACAAATTTGTAGTTTCACTTGTCGCGTCTTGATATGTTTGCGTTGTACACGAGACGTGAAAATCTCTGGTTTGCCGTTGTAAAAAGCCCTAACACAACGTCTCTAACTCCCGTGGGGCTTTTAATTATTCATTTCTTTTGTACGAGATCAGGAATATCATTGTGTGAATAGCCGTCGTCGTCGCGTTGCCGTCCTGTTTGCTTAAGGTCGCTAATATCTAGTCGACGTCGATGGCGACAAGCTCAAGTTGTGACCAATTACGTTTGGAAACGATGGTTGAAGGAGTATGTCCCCAATTTATTTCAAAGGAGAAAATGGACTACACAAGCCCTGAACCTGCAAAAGAGTGATCTCTTACTTGTCGTAGACCCCGATTCCCCCCGCGAAGTTTGGCCACTAGGTCGCGTGATCCGCCCGATTACCGAAGACTCAGGAACCGTCCGCGCTGTCGAAGTCAAAACGAAAAGAGGAACACTCGTGTGGCCTGTAGCAAAGATTGCCTTATTTGAAGAAGCAACTCAATCCTTGGAAAAGAGCGTGTCCACCCTCTAAGTCGATGATGAGCACGGGGCCGGCGATGTTCCGCCCGCATCATATAATTTAATACGCTTGAGCGACAAGCCCTAAGGGATCGAACACGAACTGTATTGTATTTGTCAACACTTTTCAACGCCGCATATTATATTATATAGCTTAGTTAAATGCGGTGAAATACGAGTAGGTTTGAACGGAGAGACTCGAGACCTATAGTCAAGCATGCTGTCTGGTTTTTGGTGAAATAAATTTATGTATAAAATAAAACTCACGTCTAGCATTTGAATTTACAACGTTCGACGCATCGATCGAGATATAACAGAGAATTGGCTACTAGTAAAACCCGGAACACCGGAACACGGAACATCGGAACAGCATCATTCCGGAACACGGAACACCGGAACACTAAAAATTCTTAATTTGTTAAAAATTCGGAAAAAAAATGCCGGGGGGTAAAAATATTGCTGCAATAATTATTGCGTAAAAAGTGCCTTTCTGACCGATAGCTACTAATAACGAAGAGAAATCCTCGGCAGAAACCAGTCTGAAAGTAATAAATATTTGCCTGAAAAATAGAAATCAAACCTAGAATTGTTATTTGTTGAGAATATTAAATGGCCTATCTTTGTTTGTTGTTGAAAACATGACAATCAAAATATTAAAGTAACAACAGTTGATTGGCTTCCTTGTTTTTACCGACTTAGCTACTCTTGAAGTGCAAAACTAAAAGGATAATTTTCAATTCTCGTTCGAAGTTGGTAGGCCTATTTAGCATCACTTTAGTACGCACAGTTCTTTAATATTGATCCTTTCTCACACGAAATATTTTATAAGCGGCGATGGACAAAAAAACCCTTTACTCTTTAGCGTGTGATAATATAAACCTTTCGCTCAATTAAAATGACAAAAATACAAACAAATATAATTATAGGCCATGTAAGTTGTATATATAAATGATGTTTCAACGCATGCATGTGTGTCTATTCGTCCATGTTTAAACTGTAAATTAAACTGACACTCAGTGAGGGAATTTTACTATTTTAGTACTAGTAAAAATCCTACGACTCTATCCGCGTTTTCGCTCGAGTTTTCGCTTGCTCTGAGATTCAATATTGTTGGCCGTTTATAATATGGCATAGCATACCGAGCATACTAGCCTACATATAAGAAGGTCGCACACGACGACGCGGTACTAGGCTATATGTCCTGACTCCTATATATATCATTATGGAGGTACTGACACAGTATATAGGCTCTAGCACGAAAGATTGCATACACTAAATTATTCCCTTTTAGGATGCGCCAGTTTTATATTTATAAACAACAAGTTGATTTTACAAACATGTCAGCAGCAGATCAACTTGTTGTTTATAAATATAAAACTGGCACATCCTAAAAGGGAATAATTTGTAGTGTATGCAATCTTTCGTGCTAGAGCCTATATTGTTTCAGGACCTCCATAATGATATATATAGGAGTCAGGACATATAGCCTAGTACCGCGTCGTCGTGTGCGACCTTCTTATACGTAGGCTAGTATATGCTCGGTATGCTATGCCATATTATAAACGGCCAACAATATTGAATCTCAGAGCAAGCGAAAACGCGGATAGAGTCGTAGGATTTTTACTCGTACTAAAATTCCCTCACTGAGTGTCAGTTTAATTTTCAGTTTAAACATGGACGAATAGACACACATGCATGCGTTGAAACATCATTTATATATACAACTTACATGGCCTATAATTATATTTGTTTGTATTTTTGTCATTTTAATTGAGCGAAAGGTTTATATTATCACACGCTAAAGAGTAAAGGGTTTTTTTGTCCATCGCCGCTTATAAAATATTTCGTGTGAGAAAGGATCAATATTAAAGAACTGTCTGTATTAAAGTGATGCTAAATAGGCCTACCAACTTCGAACGAGAATTGAAAATTATCTAAGTCGGTAAAAACAAGGAAGCCAATCAACTGTTGTTACTTATTTTGATTGTCATGTTTTTTAATATTTTGATTGTCATGTTTTCAACAACAAACAAAGATGGGCCATTTAATATTCTCAACAAATAACAATTCTAGGTTTGATTTCTATTTTTCGGGCAAATATTTATTACTTTGAGACTGGTTTCTGCCGACGATTTCTGTTCGTTATTAGTATAGCTATCTGTCAGAAAGGCACGTTTTACGCAATAATTATGGCAGCAATATTTTGACACTCCCCCCGGTATTTTTTTCCGAATTTTTAACAAATTAAGAATTGTTAGTGTTCCGGTGTTCCGTGTTCCGGAATGATGCTGTTCCGGTGTTCCGGCGTTCCGTTGTTCCGGTGTTCCTGGTTTTACTAATAGCCCAGAGAATTCGCACCAGAGGTCATCGACTTGGACCTTTACCCTCGTGAAAGATGGTGTAAGATACAAGCAATTCTGTCACGAGTATGGGACCGCTGGTTGAAGGAATATTTACCAAAATTGAACAAACGACCGAAGTGGACGAACGTGGTAAAATATTTTAAAGATGGTGACGTTGTTCCGGAACACCGGAACACCGGAACAGCATCATTCCGGAACACGGAACACCGGAACACTAAAAATTCTTAATTTGTTAAAAATTCGGAAAAAAAATACCGGGGGGTGTGAAAGTATTGCTGCAATAATTATTGCGTAAAACGTGCCTTTCTGACCGATAGCTACTAATAACCAACAGAAATCCTCGCAGAAATCAGTCTCAAAGGAATAAATATTTGCCCGAAGAGTAGAAATCAAACTTAGAATTGTTATTTGTTGAGAATTTTGAATATCGTTGTTTGTTGTTGAAAACATGACAATCAAAATATTAAAGTAACAACAGTTGATTGGTTTCCTTGTTTTTACCGACTTAGCTACTCTTGAAGTGCAAAAGGATAATTTTCAATTCTCGTTCGAAGTTGGTATTTAGCATCACTTTAATACAGACAGTTCTTTAATATTGATCCTTTCTCACACGAAATGTTTTATAACTATAAACGGCGATGATAAAAAAAACCTTTAGCGTGTGATAATATAAACCTTCCGCTCAATTAAAACGACAAAAATACAAACAAATATAATTATCCCCGAGCCGACGGCGCGAAGCGCCGTGCGAGGTAGTAATTCCCCCCGGCTATTTACACCCAGGGAAACGAAAGCATTAGCGAAGTCTAAAGTTCATCAAATATCGTGGGCGTGGCTCACCAACGATGTTTCGGTGGGTGGTCATCCTCACTGATCTAAAAAATATGGCGGACTGTCATGAATTGCGGACACTGATTGGTCCAATTTAAAGTTTGCATTATAACGACTTCATGACGACTGCGACGTTCCTCTGTGACTGCGAAATAGCAAATATTTCTTGATTTGATGATTGATAAATTTCTTGCAAATATATTTCGTTTTTGCTCGCATTTTTGCAAGGTTTTGTAAATTTCAAAAGCTCCCTCGTAAAGAAACTGCGAAAGAATCGGCTAAAAGAAGGGAGCCGACGTTAACGAAGGTAAGTTTGTTTTAAATATTGATTTTATAATGACTTTAAAACCCGACGGCCTTTGCGTATATGAAACAACTAAACAAGACAACAATGATATAATTTCAGCGTATCTTTAACATTGATTCCCTTTTTTATGATATTGAATTTTTTAAATAAGAAAGAAAGCAAAGTTATTTGCAAGCGAGAATTTGAAATCATTTTATTGCAAACTGAAAGTTTATCGATAAAGCCATTTAATTAAAGGCAGTTTAGTTTTAAAAAGAACACTTTAAAACGTTTTGCGAAGCCTTTGTTGTTGAATTTTACCTTAAATGGAAGCTTATATTACATATAATATCATTACCTAACATATATATGTTGGGAAATTGATAATTTTGTAATTAAAAGTGATATTTTTAGGCGATTTTTCATTTGTAAGAATATTCTTAAAAAATGATTGTGTTACCATGACAACTACTTTAGATACTTCATGTTCGGAAAATACAATGGTTTTGTCAGCAAGGCGAGGGTTTCTGCATGCATGTATTTTCTAGTAGGCCATGTAAGTTGTATATATAAATGTAAAATGATGTTTCAATGCATGCATGTGTGTATATTCGTCCATGTTTAAACTGTAAATTAAACTGACACTCATGCAGTGAGGGAATTTTAGAACGAGTAAAAATCCTACGACTCTATCCGCGTTTTCGCTCGAGTTTTCGCTTGTCCTGAGATTCAATATTGTTGGCCGTGTAATATGGCATAGCATATACCGAGCATACTAGCCTACATGTAAGAAGGTCGCACACGACGACGCGGTACTAGGCTATATGACCTATATGTCCTGTATATATTATAGCCATAGGCTATAGCACGAAAGATTGCATACACTAAATTATTCCCTTTTAGTATGCGTTAGTTTTATATTTATAAACAACAAGTTGATTTTACAACTTGCACTTGAAAAATAGATGTGTCGGTGTAATTTTCAACTTTATACAAACTCGTCAACCTCACAACATGTCAGGCTTGCCAGATTCTCACTACCCTGAAAAACTGAATTCCTTCCAATTCTCAGTCAAAAACCAAATTGGCTAAAATAAACAAGAGAGGAATATCATCTGCTGACATGTTTGTAAAATCAACTTGTTGTTTATAAATATAGCCTAGTACCGCGTCGTTGTGTGCGACCTTCTTATATTTAGGCTAGTATGCTCGGTATGCTATGTCATATTAATAGACGGCCAACAACATTGAATCTCAGGGCAAGCGAAAACTCGAGCGAAAACGCGGATAGAGTCGTAGGATTTTTACTCGTACTAAAATTCCCTCACCGCATGAGTGTCAGTTTAATTTACAGTTTACGCATGGACAAATAGACACACATGCATGAATTGAAACATTATTTATATATACAACTTACATGTAACATAGCCTATAATTATATTTGTTGTTTGTATTTTTGTCGTTTTAATTGAACGAAAGGTTTATATTATCACACGCTAAAGGTTTTTTATCCATCGCCGCTTATAAAATATTTCGTTTGAGAAAGGATCAATATTAAAGAACTGTCTGTATTACAGAAAAGTGATGCTAAATACCAACTTCGAACGAGAATTGAAAATTATTCTTTTGCACTTCAAGAGTAGCTAAGTCGGTAAAAACAAGGAAGCCAATCAACTGTTGTTACTTTAATATTTTGATTGTCATGTTTTCAACAACAAACAAAGATATTCAATATTCTCAACAAATAACAATTCTAGGTTTGATTTCTATTTTTCGGGCAAATATTTATTACTTTGAGACTGATTTTTGCGAGGATTTCTGTTCGTTATTAGTAGCTATCGGTCAGAAAGGCACGTTTTACGCAATATTACTAAAATCACTAAACTGGCCACATTCCGCTAAGATTTTCAAACGGGGAAAGACGTTTGATAAACGGGGAAAGACGTTTGATAATTCCAAATTCAATTTTCGTTCAATCATGTGATCAAATTGTTTCATCATTTTGAATGATGCTCTTCACGATTTTGTTATCAATTTATTTTTGTACATGGGTTTCTAATTTTATTATCCAATCAGGTGCGTAGTTTTGAATTAAACGTCAGAAATTCGTTACTCAACAGTCAAGTTATTCAAACGTAAACAAGGTCACAAACATCCAAACGAAGGTCAATGCAACAGAATATATGAAATATTCGTTTTGTGCTCATTTTAAAGTTTCATAATCGTAATGAACAATCTATCTAGTATCTATCTTATAGTATGATCTCCCTTTTAGCGAAAATATGATCACCATCTTGTAATATACTGAGTTGTTTCGAAGTTGACTGGGAATAATTATTATAAATAGCACTGTCTAATCGTGAAGTCATGTGACCAAAATTATGAAACAATTTGATCACATGATTGAACGAAAATTGAATTTGGAATTATCAACCGTCTTTCCTTGTTTATCAAACGTCTTTCCCCCGTTTGAAATTCTTAGCGCGATGTGCCCAGTTTAGTGATTTTAGTAATAATTATTGCAGAAATACTTTCACACACCCCGGTATTTTTTTTCTGAATTTTTAACAAATTAAGAATTTTTAGTGTTCCGATGTTCCGTGTTCCGGAATGACGCTGTTCCGGTGTTCCGTGTTCCGGTGTTCCGTTGTTCCGGCGTTCCTGGTTTTACTAATAGCCAAAATAGTTAAATCGCACTGCAATTGCATGATCAGCAATGCGGGGAGGGGGGGGGGGGATGTTTAGAAGAGATATGACACTTACACGCAAAACGCGGGACACGCGTTCAGACAATCAGTGGATTATTGAGATCAGTGTACTATAGAAAAGAACGCTAAGTATATATACATACATACATACATACATACATACATACATACATACATAAAAATTTATTTAAACACGTTAACCCTAACATATTTTTATGGTTTCCTTAGGGGAACGTGTAAGAATAAGAATAAGACTAATACATATACATAATACAAACTATTACATGATTATTATTTTGACAATTAACAAACATAAATAAATAACAAACATACAAAACTATTTACATAATTATGGTTTTCGAAAATGTAGTTTCATTAGTCTTTTGAAACAACTCAAAGAATTGGATTGTTTAGCAGTAATGGATAAGTTATTCCAAAGAGTAGCTCCACTATAACTGAAGGTCTTTTTCTTAAATTGTGATTTTGGGAATGGAAGTACCAGATCTGTTTGAGAATTTCTTAATTGGTGTGTAATTGGACAATCACTTATTTTCAAAAAAATTTCTTTCAGGTTTGGAGCAGTTTCATTATTTAAGATTTTGTAAATAAAAATGGATTTCAAGTATTTTCGCCTATTGTCGAGAGTTTGCCACCCCAAAGTTGCAAGAACATCGGCCGACCTAACATCATAAGATGCTGCTGTTATTACTCTAGCAGCTCGGGATTGACATTTTTGTAGCTTTTCCTTTAGGACGATTCCACAGGTATCCCACAATTGGGTTGTATTAAGTACTGTTTGTAACAATTCCTGAGGAACATAGGTTTTCATACGTTTAATTACTGCAATGGCTGCATTAACTTTCTTAATAATCATATCAATATGATGTTCTCAGTTCAATTTTTCGTCTAAAGTGACACCGAAACATTTGTAGCAATTTAATCTTGGGACAGGAACATTATTAATTAATATCGGTATTCCTTGAGGTATATTCTTAATTTTATATAGGGGATGCAATAAACATACATTTAGATTTCTTATGATGAATTTGTAGCTTATTATTCTCCATCCATTGCGTAACAGTATTTAGGTCATAATTTATGTTGTCAATAAGATCATTTACATTGTGTGATGACGCGTAAATTTCCGTGTCATCAGCATAAAGACCCGGCGTGGTTTTTTGGAGACATTGTGGTAAGTCATTGATGTAGAGCAAAAATAACAACGGCCCCAGGATCGACCCCTGTGGGACCCCACATTTTAATTTTCCAACGGAGGATAGTATCCCATTAGCTACGCGTTAGGTATGATTCAAACCAGAGTAATTCATTACCGCTAATGCCAAAGTTGGATCTCATTTTACTTAATAAAATATTGTGATTTATTGAATCAAAAGCTTTCCGTATGTCTAAAAATACTATACAGTTTATTTTCCCCTCGTCCATGTTATTTAAGATTTCGTCACATGTTTTAATGAGGGCTGATAAGGTTGAGTGTTGTGGCAGAAAAGCCAGATTGATACTTTGAGAGAAGATTACTTTCATTCACGTACGTATACACTTGCCTAAACACTCCTTTTTCAAAGACTTTGCTTACAATTGACAAAATAGAAATGGGTCTATAATTTTCACATTTACTTTTATCTTCAGATTTGAAGATAGGAATTACTCGAGCTCGTTTCCAATCGTTAACATAAATACCGCTTTGAAGAGATAAATTAAAAATATACGTTAAGGAAGGGGCAATAATATGGGCAGCTAGTTTTAGTATTTTCGCTGGGATGGCGTCTAGGCCAGTAGATTTATTTGCTTTAAGGTGTTTCAAATTACAGAGGACACTATCAACTGTAATGAGAGAAAAATTAAATTTATTATTAGTTTGGGAATGGATGTTTGTGTCAGAGAAATCAATATTTTCTCCACAATCGTTTGGCGTATCATTTTCATCAGGGTACACTCCAATGTTGATGAAGTGTGTATTAAATGCTCCGCAATGAGATTAGGGTCTGTGATGACATTTTCACCAACTTTGAGCTCGCTAACATAATTGGATTTATTTTGTTTCCCTAGCAGGGAATTTATTGTAGACCAGCATTTTTTAAATCCATAGTTTCTGCACATTCAGATATTTTGTTGATATAGAAAGTAGATTTTGTCTCACGTATTAGTTTATTAACTTTATTACGCAAACTCTTATAATTATGCCAATGTGAATCAGAATTCAACTTTATGGCCTTTTTCTTATGGTAGTCTGTTCTTCTCATAGCTGACCTTATTTCCGCTGTCATCCACGGAGTGGTGTGTTTCCCTGATCTTATATGTCTAACAGGAGCATGTTTATCTAGTGTTCCGATAAATAGTTCCTTCCACTTATTCCAACTCAAGTTTGGATCACTTGTTATGAAAACAGTTTTCCAAGGAATATTGGTTAGGTCAGATATAAATTCTGTTTCAGTAAAGTGTTTAAAATTACGAACTTTTTAATAGTCGGCCTTCGTTTAAGTGGTTTGAATTTGCGAACTGCATATATTAAGCTATGATCTGATATACCAACGTGAAAGACGCCAGCATGAGAAATTTTTTCAGGAACATTTGTCAGAATAAGGTTAATTATAGTAGCAGATGTTCTCGCAACCCTGGTTGGTTCTTCTATTAACTGAGCCATGTTATATAATGAATTTATAGATTGAAATCTACTTGTATGCGCTTCTGGTGGGGATTTAGGAACATCACAATTTATATCTCCTGATAGGATTAGTCCTTTGTTTTCAGCATCACAATTAAGAAGAAAAATATCGTATGCATCAAATCATAGTTAATGGAGGAGATGGTTTGGAAACTCATTAGCATTACAATAAACCTCACTATCTATGTTTTTGTTCAGGTTTATGCAAAAATGTGGTCTTTCATCATCACGTGCGTATTGTATTTTTGCTCAACCAACCAATAGCAACCGTTTTGTCCAATTGCTCATCCATGACTTTAACAATAGGACATTTTGAACGTTCCTATTGGTTGATTTGAGAAAAATACAATACGCTCGTGACGATGAAAGACCACATTTTTGTATACTGCCTGAACAACATAGATAATGAGGTTTATTGTGATTTTATTGTAATGCTAACGAGTTTCCAAACCATCTCCTCTATTAACTATGATCAAATACATCCGTAATTGAATTAGGTGGTCTATACCATGTACTAACTAGAAATGACCTGTTGAAAGGTTGATTAATTTCGATACAGATCATTTCCAGATTTATTTATTTATTTAGCTTTGCCAACTAGGGCAGGGTCACCACAACAGCATATGCCAATTACTGTAGGCCCTTTTATTTTTTTACCTAACCCACCCTGTCAACTTTCCCTGTGGGAGGAAACCGGAGTACCCGGGGAAAACCCACGGCTTTCGGCAGAGCGTTGACTTTTACTCTTTTCACATGGGGACTGGGTTCGAGTCGCACTGAAAAGGTACTTAGTGAGACTCGAACCTGCAGCCTCAGAGGTGAAAGGCAAGTGCGCTAACCACTTGGCCACCGAAGAGATTATTTGGAACTAAGTCATTTCTAACCAAAATGGAGAGGTGTTCTTGAGCATATATTACAACACCACCTCCATTTCTATTTCTATCTCTTCTAACTAGATTATGACCTGGTATACTTATTTCAGAGACATTTACTAATGAATCAATTTTTGTTTCGTTAATAGCAAAGATGTGAAAGGAACACTGTGATAAAATATAACGAATATGTTCAATATTTTTTAATAGACTATTGATATTTAGACTACCAAGTTTTAGACCTTTTAGTTTTCCCATCTGTTTGAATTGGCAGGTTACATCTTCATCATAATAATAATAATAATAATGGTATTTTAATAACACATTATCGCATGAAAATGAATTACAATGTGTTTTACAATTGATTTGAATGGGAATTACAATACTAAAAGTAACTATATTACAAATATATCATTAGATTATTAAATAAGAACTTATAACTAAGAACAATTATTTGTTTAAAACACTAATCATGCTACGGAAAAAACTATTACCAAATCTATCAGTTCTACATTTAAAAGAAGCGAATTGTTTAAAATTCCTTAAATTATACACATGTTCGTTTTCACTGGTGAGAGTTAGAAGGGAAGAAAGACGACTGCCCAATGCAATATTTTTCATCGTCTTTTCGCAAAGTTCACCTCGACTTATATCCAGCCTAGGACACTGCAACATTTCTTGCGCTTCACCGTAGGATCGACCTGGCAGTATAATCCTCAGTGCACGTTTTTGAATTTTTTCGACTTGTTCAGACAGATACATAGGTAGACCACAATGCCATACTGTACAACAATATTCTAATGTAGATCTAATCAATGCATAATAAATTGTGATCAGGTCGTGCGGTGGAATCCCTCCCCGTCGTAGGACACGTAGGATATGCAGTCGCTTGGATGCTTTGGTAACAATCATCGAAATATGTTCGTTCCACTTAAGGTCATCCTGGATAATCAATCCAAGAACCTTGTGCGACGATACACATTCTAAGATCTGGTCTTCAACACACAAGTGTGGTAGTTCAGGTTTGTTCCGAAAGAAACAAATTTGCATCTCTTTGCATTTCTTTGCGTTCAGTTTTATCAGGTTATTAGATGCCCATGTAGCTATAGAAGTTAAATCGGACTGGATTACAGACGGTTCCCCATTCCTTAATAATCCCTCAGAAATAGTAACATCATCAACGAATTTCCAATTCCTCCCCGAACCGCATTGTAAATCATTGACCATAATTAAGAACAGGATCGGACCCAACTTCGTACCTTGGGGGACACCGGGTGTAACAGGAAGCCAACAAGAAACAGCTTCCGCAAGTTTAACCCGCTGTCTTCGCCCTGATAGAAAGTTTACGATCCATGGTATTAACGATCGCCTAACGCCAATATCAAAAAGTTTTTGGATAAGAATGTTATGGCCAATACGATCGAAGGCCTTTGAAAAATCCAAAAAGCATATGCGAAGAAAATGACCAGTTGAATCTAAATGAGAAAGCCAACAATGCAACATGTCGAGCAAGCAATAGGTCGTGGATGAACCCTTTAATGAACCGAACTGTTGTGCGTCAATATTATTCCTAACGTCAGAGATCATCCATCTAACGACAAAATCTTCGAGAACTTTAGAAAGGCATGGCGTTAGTGAAATGGGTCTTGTGTCACCCTCGTCAGTTGGTTGTTTAACTTTTGGAATGGGAGTAATATGTGAGTCTTTCCATATATTTGGAACAATCCCGGATGCAAGTGACATATTGAAGATTTTCGCAACTGGTTCAGCGAAAAGGTGCGCAAATTCTTTCAAAAGGCGACCTGGAATATTATCAGGACCACATGTTTTGGAGGCATTAACGACCAATAATTTCTCACAGACTTCGTGCGGTTCGATGTAAGGCACTTGATCAACAGCAGGTAAGTATGCTGGTAACGTGGTTATATCTAGTGGTGGAATGTCTGCGTTAACCGAGATGTAAACCTTGTTCAAGTTATTGGCCAGTTCTAAATCTGATAATAATTCACCTTCCTTTTCAAAGGTAAGTTTAGTACACTTCTGAGATCGGCCAGACAACTTATTTACGACTTGCCACCACTTTCGGCAATCGTCTTTCTTAAGATGTTGTACTTTAGTTTTGTAATATTCTTTCTTTCTTACGGCTATTTCGGTCTGGACCTTATATTTCAATGTTCTCGACTGCAGAACATCTCCACCATGGAAAGCTCTTTGACGGTCATTAATGAGTTTTTTGATAGACACAGACATGCATGGTTTATCGGAATGGCAAAACCTAACAGATTTCAGGGGAATAAGACTGTCAAATGCTGTAGATACTTGGGATGAGAAGGAATTAGCTAGGTCATCTACGGTAGGGCTTGGACCCAGATTACTGAACAATTGATGCGTGCTGGCCCATCGGCCGAAAGAATTCAAGGCAGATAGCGGATAGCGGCGTATAAGACGCTTAATCGGTTTAGGTTTGGTAATAGCATCAACTTTATTAGGAACCCATCGTACTATATTATGGTCAGCAGACCCAAGCGGAGCAAGAATATACGGCTTGTCATAAAAATCTTGTAAATCGGTGACGATGAGATCAAGGGTAGAAGACCCCCTTGTAGGAGCAGAAACGACTTGCTTCAAACTAAGACTACGGGTTAGGTTCGAAACATCAAAATTATTAAAATCACCAAGGAATACGATTCTACAATTAGAA